AAGATTACCTTAAGATATTTATTCTAAAACAATTCCTTTAGGATATCAACTATCCTAGAAAAGGGATTATCTTGAGATGATTATAGTAGGAAAGGATTGTTAGGATTAGCCTACTAGGATAGGAATCATATAATGAAACTTTCAGAAGTATAGGTTCTTTTAAACTTCTTAGAGTTTTCAGAAGTGTAAACTCCTCGAAGCTCCCGGAAGAATTTATTATATAGTCAGGATAGTTTTATAATTTAGAAGTTTCGTATTCAACTTAGTTATCAATTAGTTTATCTATATTCTAATTGATCTAATAACGAATTCACTTTTAAATAGATAACCAGTGATTAATAACCTTAACCCACAACTACCAATCATACGAAACCTCAGGCAGTCGTTGTCTCGACTAGATCGTTACAAAGTGTATAGAATTTCTTATTCATCCGATTAAATATTATTAGTTATTATTTCTTTTTATTATATAAAATGATTCTATAAGATTCAATTCAAATTAATCTTATTATTAATTATAGAACATACTAAAATTTCAAATTTTAAATTATATAGAAAAACTTTTGATAATATTTTTTGATTTTATAAAAATTAAAAATTATAATTGTTTAATTGAAATGAATTCTATAAATTATTTTTTAAAATAAATTTATTTATTTAATAAACTTTGATTTAAGAATCTCAGAAAAAAATATAACTTATTTCTAATTATTTTTATTGAAAAGTCATTATAGATTTTTATAATTTTTAAATTTATTTATAAATTTTATATAAATTAAAAATTAAAATATTTAAACTTTTAAATCTTAACAAAATCAATTTCAAAAAATTTAAAATTTTTTGAATTTATATTAAAAATATGATTCAAATTTCATTTATTTTTATTGACTGATTAAAGTTATTAATAGATGAAAATTACAATTTTTGATATAAACAAATGATTCAAATTAAAAATGATCTGAAAATAAAATACTAGGCTTATATACTTTTACATTTATATAGTTTTAATCTCAAATCTATTATAAAATCTAATATTTTTATAAATAATATAATTTAATCAACTTTCTTCCTCGATTCCTCTTATAGTGTATTCTCAGGATGTATATATCTCGATCTATCTCTTTTACACTACATGACTACCTTGTTTAATAGACTTCAAGATGTTCTTCAATTTTTATCAATTATGGGTTTCTTTATCAAAAGCAGATACACATTTCTTATATTCAAAATCTCAGTAGATGCAACATACGAAATAGAAGATATTAAATTACTCGGGACGTCCCTTCATATAAACACTCTGAAGCTCATGTTAGAATATAATCATGAACACCTAAAGCTATAGACCCTTTTGCTTCCTAAAAGTCATGCATATCCCGAAAACACCAAATTCATCACAAAAAGAAAGTAACATGAGTTCCTCCACCCGCTAGCTGAAAAATATCTAGAAACTCCCTGCTCGAAACCTCTCGCTTAAAATATCCATGATTGCTACTAACATTGAAATTGTCCCTTGTTTCGAAACGTAAACCGTCGATTTGTATGTCGTATGGAAAGTGTTTGTCGGGATGTAGACTATGGTACTGAGATCTCGGTCAGGAAATGCTTAGATGATCATGAACGACTATTTTGCTAGCGCTGAAAGAGCTCACAGCTCCCATTTATTGTTTTCCGGCTCTGCCCTCAGCTCTATACATATTTAGCATATCTCTATCATGTTTTAATGGGTTTATAACTTACTGTCCTAACTTGTACTTAAGCTCTGCTAATTCGTCCTTCAAGTTGTTATTCTTCTCAATTTCCTTCTTGAGATCCTTCTCCACTTGGACCCGTGGGAAAATTAACGCAAAAATCTCGGTTATAAAGTAGGATAAAAATTGTGTGAGGAGGTAAAGGAAGCAGCACCCGGAAATTAAATTGAAGAATTCGCTTAAAGCAGAATCCTTTCCGTCGACGGTGCAATTGGGGGAATTGGCTGTTGGAAGATCAGACATGTTGATGAATGAATAGATTTGATGTGATGATGGTAGTCTCTTTGAGAATCAAGTTCAGGGAGATAGAATTTTGCTGGAGATGGATGTTGGGAAGTTGTAATGTGGAAGATGGTTTAATGAATGTAGATTACAGAATAATGGAGGCTTTTAAGTACTTGAATCTCGCTTAATTGATGCTCTTCTCATGTATTTGTCTACGGCTGTATTGAAGCGGCTGTATTGAAGCGGCTGTATTGAATATCAAATACTGCTTCAGACAAGGCGTGGAGATTTGGTTAAATTACTAGTGCTCTTTCATTACTTTGTTTGGTGTTTTGAAGAAATAAATGTGAATTTGTACAGCATGAACATTGTAAGAGTTCTGGAATCTACTCACCGCACACTAAGCGAAATCACACCAAAATCAACGATTTTCTAAACTTTTTAAACCCTTGTTATCTTTATAAAATAATAAAATAAATATATAAAAATTGATGTGTATATAGATAATTCATTCAAATATAATAAAAATTTAACAAAATATTTTTTATTATTTTTGTTTCAAAGTTATATATATTTAAGATTGAAAAAACAAAAAAGTTTAAAAAAATCGCTTATTTTATATGGGGAAAAGTTCAAAAAAGCGTTACACAAATGAAATTTTAACATTTTTTAAATTTAAATAGATATAACTTTCAAACAAAAATAATTAAAAATAAATTGTAAATTTTTTCAATATCCTTTTGTAGTTAATTATGATATTTGAAAATTTCATTTGATTCAATTCAATATTGAAAAAGTTATTTGATATTTTATTTTATATAGGAAAATATGAGTTTTGCAGGGATTTTGTCACGAATTTAAATGGTGTGCGGTGAGTAGATTCCAGAATTCTTATTATATTATTGAGTCTATAAATAGTCATACAATGATTACAATTAATCAATAGAATTTGATAAAACTTGAATCATAGATTCATTATATAGTTATAACTCAATTCTGAAAATTTTAGATTTTTTAGAATTAATTTCATCGAGATCTATAAGTCTAGTACTCTACTTTCCGGCCACCCCTCTTTCCGGACACATTTTTACACCAAAAATCATCATTTTCACCTATTAATATTTCAACAACCAATCAATTAAATCGATTAAAATTTGAAGTGTAGATTTTTTATATACTTATCAATCAATCTTGAAAATTTTAGATTTTTCATTATTGATTTGATTGAGAATTGGAAGGTTAAATTTTTGAATTTTCAATTCATATAAGATTTATATACAAAATTGAAAAATTATTAAAACCTTCAATAACTTTTGAATAAAAATTATTAAAAATAAATTATATATTTTTTTCGGGTATTTGTATCATAATTGATTGAATAAATCAATTTGTTTTAAAAAATATTTTATCAAAATTCTTTTAATCAAAATATTATGATTTTTAATTCTTGTAAAATCTAAAAATATCAATAAAGATTCATTTATATTATTTAAAATTCAAAATATTGATTTATTATTAAAATTTTATTTAAAAATTTTAAAAAGATTTATAATTTATTTTTAATAATTTTTGTTGAAAAATTATTGAAGCTTTTCAAGTTTTTCAAATTTGTATGTAAATCTTATACAAATTGAAAATTGTAATTTCAACTTTCAATTTCTTAACCAATAAAATCGCGAAAAATCTGAAATTTTCAGAATCTATTAATAATTATATATTATATGTATGATTCAAATTTCATCAAATCCTAATGATTAATTGTGAAATTATTAATAGCTGAAAATGATGATTTTTGATGTAAAAAGGTGTCCGGAAAGAGGGGTGGTCCAAAAGTAGAGTACTAGACTTATTCTTTTAAAATTCGTTCACTTAACGCCTAACTCCAGATTTTCATGCATGAATAGTTTGCTAATTTCCTAGTAGTTGCTAATATAAAAGCCGAGGAGTGAACAAGAATTCTTCAAAAGGGATAATTTTACTTGGATGAAAATGTATTGGATGACAACTGTTAGATATTAGTAAATCTCTCGGAAAATCATACATTCATCTCCCTTCCAGAAGATATTGTAAACTCAACAAGTCAATTACATTCATAGAAGTTAGTAGCTCCGGGGATAATCAGCATCAAAATGAATAAGGATTTATTGAAAAAATTCAAAAAAATCAGGAGAACGTAAGAGTGACCGTGAGATATGATAGTGCTCTGATTGACCAGTTATACTATGAGAAAGTTGGAATTATAAGCCAAATACATAAAGGTTTTTAACTATTTAATCACATAACCTCTTGTAATTAAATATAAAAAAAGAACTTTTGCTTCTTTTTTTGAAAATTATCAGTCTTTTACTTATATACATTTTGAACTTATATAATATCAACCTCAAAATTATTGTGAATTCTGTTTTCTTTATAAATGATGTATTACAATGTAATCTAATTCAGCTTTCTCTTCCAATTCCCTCCTCACAGTGTGTTATCGGGACGTACGTATCTCGACCTATCACTTTTACAATACAAAATTCACGTAGTCCTTATATCATCGAGTCGCATCTATAGCTAAGGTCAAGATGGTAACAAATTATCTAATTATCCTCTGTTATCCTTCTCAATAGCTCTAATGCTTACCTAGTTGTTTAGTAAAAGAGTGGTTTAATAACAACTTGATGTTAAAGAATCAATAAATAATGTCTGTAAAACGGAACATTCTAATTTCCATTGTGTCTACTGAAGCCGAAACCACTAGTAATATGATGCTAAGAACCAAGATTGATAAAATGTTCTCTGTAGAAATCTAGGTCAAGAGGATGGCAGTGATTGCTTGAATTGAGAGCGAAATTGACATCTCACAAGGAAAGACATGGTGCATCTAAAGCTCTGAATAAGTACGACCTGGCGCTGGTTTTTCTCCGGTTGGGAAAGAAAGACACTCTTCTGATAGAAGTAAATCATAAACAATTCACTTTAATAGACAGCTTGAAAAATGAGACCTCTTGGCTTTTCAAAACAATAATGGAAATAATCAATTGCTTCTAGTATGCCCACACCTTCTCCCTTAAAACAACTATATAAAACAAATGACAGGACTTCCAAGAAGAACAAAATATACAACCAATTTAGGGAAGCGAAATCTCGACAATTGCTACCACACGCACCCGCCTCGACCTAGGCTTGCCAACATCTCGTCAAATACAAACATATAGCCACCATCCCCCAAAACAACTTCACATCCTGCAGTGCGAACCAAACAAACTAGACCTTACACCAAGCTGAACACATTGCAGCAAAACCCCTAAGCAAAATACATCAGTACAATCCGCAATCAAACACCCCACCAACAATCCACCACAAACTCACATAAGAATCACCCGTCTTCCTCTATTTAGTATTCTTATTCACAATATTCTGCATCTCAGCCACCTCATCATTCGCAGTCCCCTTCGAAGCAGCCGCGCTAGCATTCTTCACCGTGACCAAATTCCGCAATTCACTCTTCGTAGCGATATATTTACCGCTAGACCATGTTCCCATGTGTTTAACGATGTTATCTCCAACTGCATCGTCGATTGTTCCGGCGTTTTTGGATACGTAGGTTGCGGCTTTGCCGCCTTGGTATTTGGCGCTGTAGTTTAGGCGGATGGCGAGGGTTTCGGTGGTGAGTAGGAGGAGGGTTAGGAGGAGGAGTTTGGGGGTGTACATTTTGGAAGGGGTTCTGGGTTGGGGGTTAGTGTATGTTGAGGGTGAGGGGTTGAGGGAGGGTTAGGGGTGACAAACGCGTGGGTTTGAGTTGAAAGTTGCTTTGAAGATTTGTTGAGTGATGTGTTGAAGGTTGATGATGAGTGATGTGAGTGTGGTGTAGAATTTTTTACATTGGCTCAATGAAGGCTCTTATATCCTCATTCTTTCTCTTTTTCTACGCCGTAAAACGAACCCTTGATGCGATTCCTACATTTTCATTCTCAGCAGGAAGCAATCCTATACACCACTGGACTCGATTTTTGGAACCTGGATAAACTGTGTATACGTAAATGTCATTCCAAGTGAGCGTAATACTAGTCCTTCATAATATTCAGGCCATTGATAGTAACTGAAAGAACTAGTAAAGTAAGCAAACGTTGCATTGAAGGATTGTTTGAGATGAGATACCCGGAGGCCGGTAATTTGCATGTATATTCTGCATAGATTATCTCTTCATGATCCTGCAAATGAGTAATTAACAACAGTCCACAGTCCATCCAGAGCTCACTTGATTATGATCAGCTTATTCACGAAATGCATTCCCCAAGCCTGTAATGTAACCCCCCTTCAGACTTCTGAACTCAATGATTATAGAGATAGGGTTTGCAATGTCGATTAGCTTATAGCAATAAAGAATGAGGTCAGTAATCCTCCTTAGAAACCTTAACTTCGACCCCTCGTCTAACGAGCTTTCGGATCAGACGTTCCTGCTAAGGTTTACTCCACTTCTTTAAATCCTACGACTCCGGAAGGATTGAAGCTTAACATTAACTGAGCAGGTAACCTATTGTCCCACAAGATCGAAGCATCATCCTACGTTTCAAAGCTCACTAGAGCTTAGTATTTCATGAATTCCTTAATTACATCCAATTGAAAAGTATTCTTATAGCTCTTAGACGAAGATATGTGAGACTAACACCAACGCTTTCATAAGTTCTCGTAGATTGGGATGTCCTTTATGTTGACATGGTATTCTTTTCGATATACAGAATTTTCGTACCTCTGCTCGTGAATTCATACATGCAGATTGATGGTAGGGTTCATTCTCTGACGTTACGGCATTATCCACCAGATCTTACTTCAATCGCCTCGGCTTACATAAGTCAAATTTACCCATACCAAAATCAATGTAAGACTTACAAGGAAGTACAAACACTCAATCAAATTTGACAACATGCTCTGCTTCTGTAAATTTCCAGATCCAGTAGGCAATCTCATCTGCCTATGGTTTCAAATCATCAGTAGAGGAAGCCTTCCATGCCCCACCCCCGCACATTAGCGAAAATTGACAAATTTTGGCCCTTTTAGGTGAAAGACTTTATAAATACATATCAACAAGCTTTAAGGAGCAGAATCCTTAAAGCTTAATCTTTCTTTAGAAGTTTCAACTGCTGCGCCGCTAGATACGAAATGTAGTCGTACCGCATATATCCCAATATGGATTAGCGCGGGATGACGTGAGGGGGCTGATGTCATTCTACGCCACAATAAGACGGACAGCAAACAGGAGAGAAATAGCCAGGATTTAAATCATTCGAAAATTGAGAAGGTGGTCTTACATCCCTCATACAGATCTCAAGAAGACTCTCACTACCTTCTCTCTCGATCATTCACAACAATACCAATCCACAGAAACACGATACCAAACAACCATGACAACAACTACAACCACACCCACAAACCCAAACACACCCTCCACATTCCCCCTCTTCCCAAACCTCGTCCTTGAACTCCGCCGCCAAATATGGCTTGAAGCCCTCCCCACCGCACTCCTCCCATCCCTCTACTTCTACAAAAAAGGCTGCTGGCAACCACGAATCTTCCAGGAAACCGACCCCGGCTACTGCGACGAAGTAAGCGAAACCCTCAGCAGCGAAGATCTCAACCGGAATTTCGAATTTCAATTCCAACATCTCGATAAGATTAATTTCCAAACATCTCTCATGTATGTGAACCACGAGGCTCGCGATATTGTGTTTTCATGGGCTCGTACTGTTGGGCTTGAAATCGAAAGATGTGGTGGGGGCTCTTCTGCTCCGCTTTTGGCTGTGCCGTTTAATCCTGCTCGTGATGTGCTTTTTGTGTCGGTTGAGCAGTGGGATGAGTTTTATTCTGAGCCGTATGATCGCTCTTTTGAAGAGGACATGATTGATCTTACTCATGGTACATATAGTGAAATCACGCGGCTGGCTGTTCCGGAAGCTTTGTTTGAGAAGGATATTAATGCTTTGGAAGAGTTGTCTAGATACTATTCTAGTATTGAGGTATTATATATTATTGTTGATACGCCGCCAGAATTGCACTCGCTGGATAATGGAATGCATGTACAACCGCGATGGGGATATAGGAAATTTACAAATTGGGCGTACGTCTGGAATGATGAGGAACAGGTCTTTAAAGCTAGTGGTGAGAGGACTCCTGGGTTTGGGTTTCCGGAAGCGATGACTTTGGAGGTTTGTGAGAGGTTGGGCGAGGAGATTATTTCGGGGTCGGGCTCGATTCGTGAGGTTCAACCTGTGTTTGCTGTTAAGGGATCTGGATAAAGAGTGTATATCACGGATATCCCATAGGTTACCTATGCTCATAAGAATTCCCATTTAGTTCATTTATGAGATATCCTACAAATGCCTTCATTTCTATCCCCATCCAAAAGGTCATCGCACTATGCCCGCAACGTGCCCGAAATCCACTCACGTTCCTTGCATTCCCCAACAAAGCTACCTGCTCCATACCCTCAAAACCCTATCCTAATTACTTAATGCCTGCTTTCTCTTCAATGATAAGATTACATGCTCTGAACCTTGTACTCGGATAACCTTCTACTCTGAGCATCTACCTCAAATACCCCATTTACCAAGCCATAAATTTATCAACCCCTTCCCCTTTCCCATCCACATAAACAAAATATCATGCTAGGAGTACGCGTAGCGCGACATAATATAAGCTCATAAGCAACAAACAACAGATACCACTTTATATCATATATATAACCATACAATTTTTAGCTCCTCTTCACTGCATGTCTATACTCATATACGTTTCAAAAATTAGACAAGATAATCAGTCAGTCAGTTAGTCTAATTCTTCTCTAAATTCGAGATTCCCTCAAAACCTGACCTCACAGTCAAAAAAAATACTAGGTAGACCAACCATTCCACACACGAGACAAATAATAAATAATAAATATGTATAACCTCTTTCTTTTGAATCAAAAACGAGGTAAAGCTAAGACTTTTCTCTATGATACAGTATTATATTGTTGTAGAAGTATCCCGCTACCCGACACCTAGCTTCCGCAGTTTTTAGGAATGCTTTCAAGTTTCCTGGATAATTTTATCCGGTAGTCCACCGTGGAGATAACAATGGATATATACATGCCATGTAATAATAGATATAGTAGGTCTCCGTAAGTTTTTGGGTATTCTGATAATGAAATGAGATTACTTTTGAGTGTAAGGAAAAGGAAAATAGGACAAAGGAAACTGAGAAATGAAATATGAGATCGGGGTGATGGTTCTATTTACATAAGAAAAGTAGTAGACGCAACGATCGAGCTTCATCACTGGCAATGGCTTGCTATCAAACCCTTGACAACACGACGTAACACCAGTAACGCCCCAACCTGGCAAGCTGGTAACTGTAGAATGAACCCGCTCATGGAGTTCTAGCATTTGTTGCACTCATTTTGTCAAACCCTCCATCTCCGTGTTTGATATCCTTTTCGCCCTCATAATACGATTATCCTTGATGAATTTCCCTGGATGGATAATAAGAAAGATCAAGACCACCAAGAACATCAACGCAGCATCAAAGACATAGAGATATGCTTCCCTATCTCCGATCGTCATAGTATGTTTTCCGATATACGTGAGAGATCCATCATCATTTCTCGTAGCATATGTAAACCCTCCACTATTAACCTGTTGCGCGTACTCAACTGCACGCACCAAGTTTCGGACGATGAGCAGTATACTGGCTGCATACAATGCCCGAAAATATTTTTTCCATGTGCTTTCCACATAACGATTGCTGCCCGGATAATTCTCCTGATTCTGGTCGAAACGGGCTGCGATACGCCAAGCCATAAAGAGAAAGAAGCAAAATGCTATGATCTGGAATATGAGACCTCCAAGAATGACTTTGTTTCCCATAGCGATGAGTGTTGCGTCGCCCGAAGCTTGGACACCTGCACCAGCAAATTGACTGATAAAACAGATGACGTCGATTAGGACGTATATTTTGGTCAACCATCGTGGGCTGATCATTGAGTACTCTTCTGCACCCAGAGCAACGGTGATTCGTGCGAGGGTCATATAAACGGTGGCTGCAAGGAAAGTCGGGGCACCGAGGATAAGAATCATTTGAAGTATCCAAGGACCAATATCGCTGACGTTGTCATGACACTTACTCCTGCCATAATATCCGAAGGTTTCGCCTGTGGTTGTTAGCTCAATGTATAGGAAAACTTTTATTAAGATGTTGGTATTCCTTTGTCTTTGGAAATTGATACTTACATATTCCACCTAAGATAAAGCTTACGAAAAACCATGAGCGTAACGGAAACATGTAGATAAAATGCGCAATAGTACATAATGCGAAAAGTGCCACAAAGCTATAGGCAGCAGAATCGGAGGGATCATAAGTGAAATATATGCCTCCTGTGATGTTTCCTGCGGGTGATTTGATGAGGGTGATATCCATTGTTTAAGTTGTGCTTGTTCAACTGGGTTAAATAAGGTCAAAGGTCAAAATGTTAGAAATAGGTCAACGAGTATGATGTGGAAAGGTTTTCGGATGTCTGAAGTATTTGAAGTATATGGAGTGGTAAGCAAGTGGTAAACAAGATGAATTGGAAAAAGCACGAGATGATGAGATATAAAGTTATGATAAGTAGATCGCCGTTGAATAATAGCTGCAACAGACCCTACCGTTTTGAGGAAAGCTATACGCAATACGAAGTCTGGCATTTTGATCATACCCTAGCATTGAGATTGAGGACTCCCGGCCAACAATGCTAAGCCCTGGCGTCTACGAGCGGGCCTGGAGATGGCGGCTATGCAGAGGATACACCAATAAGCATCTCCTTGATCGGACCATTAGCCCTCAAAAAGCCCCTCGGTGTTCCATTTTTGGAGATCCGCTTCATTCTGCCCTATGGATTTATAACCATCGAGGTACTTGCTCCATTGCGCTTATAGAAGGGTTTTTTACCCTTCCAGAAGAATAAACCAACCAAGGACTCACTAAGTCAGAAGTTGTGATGATTGCTTGTCGGAGGTAAAAATACTTTTATGGTTTGGGGGAAGATTGGACCCCTTCGTCAAATTCGGTTTCATGCTACCTAAATCATCTAACCCAACTGATCCAAGTGTCTGTAGATTAGTCCAGTTTAGGAAGTCATGAACGAGTACGATCAAATTGCACTGACCACCATACAGCGCCAAGAAACACTAATGTCGCAACGCATCTCATTATTAATTTCGTTTTCCGTATTCCATTTCCTGAAGCAGATATATATACGCGTACGTTTGTACTTTGTACTATTCGAAATCTGAAAGATCTCATTGTACTTTTGGGATCGATACCATACAACAAGGGAGAAATCAGCCACAGACATTCCGACAACCTGTACCTATTCTGCCATTCTTCGTATCCCAGACCCAAATAGTACACGAAGAACGAAGAGGAATACCACAGTCTTTGATGTACCGTTTACGAATAGCGGGACATCTCTGGGCATAATCATCTATTGGTCAGACTGGCATACTGTGTAGTTTTATAGCTTTGAGAGTCTGAGCCGCGACTGCATAATACCGTCCGTTCCGATGATCCGAAGACCTCATACTAAGTCACGGAGTGGTTGTCATAATTGTAAAAAAAGACGGATCAAGGTATGATTGCAGCATTCAAAAATCCACCGCCCCCCCAGATCCCACCTCCGAAGCTCTTCCACAGAAATAAACATGGCATTTCTCCCTGCTCTATTTCAATCACTGACATCTTGTTTTACCTCGAAGTGTGACGAGGAAAAACCAAGCTGTCAGAAATGTACCTCACGTGAGGTTGTGTGTACTTACCCAAGGCTAAGGCCTTTGATCTGGGTTGATGGTATCCCATCTACGACTGAAGCTGGCAAAGAAGGACTAAAAGACAGCAATGACTCTTCCCCTCCCTCACATAGCTCAACTCCTCGAAATGAGGAAATTTCCAACACGAAAACCCCATCTCTTAATCTCGAAAATATAGACCTCATCATTCATTGGTTCACAAAAACAGTCCATACAGTTAATCCAACCTCCAATCCGGCTGCTCTCAAAACGGCTCAGACTCTCATCTTGAGCGAAGCAATGCAGCATCACTTCCTCCTTCATGGACTACTTGCACTTTCCGCACTCCATTACGCGGAATCTCATGCAAATCCCCAGAAATATATTGAAATTGCCACCGCACATCACACTCAAGGACTCAATCTCTATCATTCCGCTCTTTCCAACATGAGCAAACAGAACGACACAGCTTGTATTGCCTTCTCGAGCATCACTGCCATGTTCGCTTTTGGTGTCTCGCGGCCGAATTCGATGAAATTGGTATCAACGGAATTAATTGACGACTTTGCTCAAGTTTTTGATCTGTGTAGGGGATGGCGCACAATCATGAATGTGAGAAGGCCATTGAAGTTTCCTCTTGCAGAAGTCACAGACGTCACTTTATCAACAGATGCCGAAGCTGCTTTTGATCGATTGTATGCTTCGAATCAAGGCCAAATGACAACCATATACGAGCAAGCGATTTCTTCTCTAAAAGCTGCGTTCAAGAAGATGGAAGGAGAAAACGATAATCCTCATCTAGCCTTAGAATGGGGAAACGTCGTATCAGAAGAATTTGTGAATTTAATCAAGGCACGAGATCGTTTTGCTTTGGTCATTGTAGGGTTCTATTGTGTGATTTTTAACAAAGTGCCCCAGGTATGGTGGATCAATGGTTGGAGTAGGGCACTCTTTGATGTTGTTTGGAGGGAGGTTGATCATTCTTATCATGAGGTTTTGGAATGGCCACGGGCGGCTGCTGGATTTGAGATATAGGTAACCTATTTGTTGGAGTTAAAATGTTGAGTATTGGGGATCTAGATACTGGGAAATTATGAATTATGACCAGGAAATAATAAAGGCATTTGATGTCAGTAGGTATTTATAACTGATAATAATAAGCGGTATGGAAACCTTGTGCGGAAATGAAGGTGCGATACATAGATGATGTATCTGATGCTGAAACCATAATATATACCATCTCGAGATTCCAGAGACTAACAGAGCACCTTTTTAAATCTCAAACTCTTATATATATCGCAAAATCCCGTCTCTCCCCACTTTCACACAAAGTTCAAAATAAATATCCCTTTCATCCCCCTCTCTCTCACTCGGACTTGGGAAGTCTAAGAGGCAAGACATACAACAAAGGGATATCATTGCAACTTTCTTCATCCCGACACTAAATTTACCATTTCTGTAATTGACAAAGCAGCTAGATTGTAATTAAGTTGACCGGAACATTTATGCAAGACCTAGAATTTACACCTACGAAGAATATGAAACTCAATGTGACGAACACCCAGTAAGGAACTTGAAGATCAGTAAACAAATTGTTGCAAAAAGAACCAGAGACTAGCTTAGTATTCCAAAGGAACTGAAAAGGTAAAGAAGATTTTCGATACGGGGCTTTGACCATCGACGGATGATGTACTGTTATTATCATCAGTATAGTTTAAATTAAATCACAGGGCAAGGAGGTTCCCTCGAGAGTCACAACTCTTTCGACGAGGAAATAGTAGATAAACTATTGTGTTTAATATATTCCATGCACAAATGTAGTTAAAAGAACTATACAATCTAAATATATCATAGCAGTAATACTAGTTAAAGCCTTCAAGCAGGCGAAAACTATCTAAAATCCTACTCCGAAGACGAAAAGTCTAATTCTATACTCGTTCAGTCGTCATATAATAAGACAAATATAATATGATGTCATTGAAGCATGTATTCTGAAAATTCGACACCAAAATCCCCCGAAGTAACCACAGTCTCAAGTATAAATATGAGGATACAAGAGAGTAGGAGTAAAAATATTTCAGACTCACCATTATTCAATCATCAATTAACCCAACTAATCCCTCGAATCTAACAGCGTTGAACATGAATACTGAAACCTTAACCTGCACCAATAAGTGAAGATATAAGCTAATCATCGGGTTAGAAATTTTATCAACCATGTAATGTTTCTTACCAAGGCGAAGAATCTACTAGATACTTACTTATACAGATTCCCAAAATAATTATTCATTGATATCATTTACAACACAACCACGGATCTTGGTTTATATATTGATGATTCCTCTGTTCGATGTATGAGGATTTCAATAGTTGAACTAATAGTTATTAATTGAAATGCATATCTATGGCCATGGATCAGGAGAGATGGTCGGTTTTCGAAAAGGCGATGTACATATGTACACTAATTTTTTCCAGTGTCATTGTCACCCTGTGTTTTTTGGGGGGTTTTATTGTGCAATGCCTGGTCTTACTACAGCTTCTAGGAAAGACTTGATCGCGCGGCTGAACAACTACGATACATTTAAACTAAACCCTGGATCTCCTTCCGAGTACCACAAATTAATGTTGAACAAGATTAATGGGAAATTTTCCCGGTATATACAATGAAAGTGAAGCATGTTGAAACGAGTAAAGCGAGATACTCGTATGACAACAAGAAACGTGGGTAGTACTGCGGAAAACTCCACGAGTCTGAAATTAAATGAACAGTTATGTAGAAAAATAAAATCGATAATTCCTTCATATAAGATAATGAATGAATCGAGCAAATAGGAATTTGTGGATGTGCGAGATAATGTTGTGAAACATTGATCTAGGCTGCTTGCATCTAGTGAAGTTGTTGTGTTAGTAAGTCCCTGAACATTGTGCATGAAGCAATGTGCGAAATAGTTTTTGGGATAGAAATTGACGAGATAAGATTGCATCCTTAACTATGAATCTATCGGTCCTCCAAAGGATTATATATTGGAGTTTAAAGTCATTATAATAATATTCGCGGAGTGATTATACTCGTTTTTCTCTGATATCTATATCTAAAGAAAAAAAAAACAAAGCCGTGTATTGTATATATAACTTAATAGAGTGACTGTCACCTTCTCAAGAATCTATACTTTACAATGCAGATTCTAAAAGGGCAAAAAATAGATTTGCGGTTCCAAGGCTGTGGCACCAACGGATTTTTATCGATGAATACACACATACCATCCCAAAATACAGAAATACTGGCACTTTTCAGCCTTTCATGAGAAGGAAAGAGAATTCGATGTATGACAACTTATCATTCTAATATTTACCAAATTTTTTACCCGCTGTGTCCACCTGTGATGACGAACCTGCTGCTCGGTATCCTAGAACAACCAGACGGTGCATTTTTCAGTTCATCAAAAGCGAAATCAACATCATCTTTCTTCATGCCTCAATCTTCATCTTTTCATCTACTGCAGCTTTCTTATCCATAATTTTAACCTCTTCATTTGTTTCTTTCCTCTCTTCAATAATCAGCGGGGCTCATTTCCTGCACTAGCAGGATTCTGCCAGGATGGACGATATTCATCCACACAATGGCGGTTAAGATAAAAATAAAGCATCAAGAACCATAAAAAATAATCCATGATATGGAATTCGATTCTTGCCTGAATCAAAACCAACCGAAAAGCGGCAGATAATTCGAGTCGGAGTGTGTAAATGCGTGAAATGCAAATATGATGAATAAGAGACGTCCCGGCGAATAAATAGAGTGTCTTCTGCAAGAGCATTCGGGTACACATTCATTCTATTCTGGGGTGATTTTTACGTGATGCTATCGCGGATGTCATCGCAGAACTACTGCTTGCTATTGTTGTCTGGAAGATATGATTGATGAAGACGTATAATTCATGAGATGAGCAACACTGACTTTGACGCTGGGAATGAACAATAACAGGGCTCAGCAAGCCCAAGGTCTATTTTTTGAATAATCTCAAAAGCGCCATCTTTTGAAATATTTCTAGGATGAGATGGAATGCAAGGCACCAACGAAAAAAGAGCCAACTGCCAATGCGAAAGTGCTGAGACGGGTATCCTTTTTCACGGTGAACGTCCCAATGGACGGGGCTCTTTGGTCAAATCCCAGCGTTTTTGACATGGTCGACTCAACCAGCGATGCGAGGAATTGGTTAGCAAGGATGGAAAAGGAGTGGAGGATGAGAAAATATGATTTTTACGTAAAGATTGATAGTGACGAGAGCCGTTGTGCTGCCGTAGACTAGACACAGCCCTATTGACCCCTTATGTACCTAGAAATTTTCAAAGAGGATTGCGCTAACCTTAACCGCGGTACCTCTTCGATGTAAGATCTTAGCATGCAGCTGTACACGTGACCTTTTCGACACCTTCAAAGCAGATGAAGAGTCATTTGACTTTGAAACTGTGCGCCAACTATTCATACAGTATAGATTGTAAGTTCGAGTGTTAAGAGCTAAGGCTCAATAGACTCCTAGCTACGTACCTATGTGTTTGTTGGTTTCGAGAACACTTAACCTACCATACCCATTCCCATTCCATCCTGAACCCCGTTCGAGGATTTTGTCCCTTCTGGTTGCAAATAAGGATTTAAATATCAGTCCATTCGAATACACTTAAATATTAGGATAATGAAAACATCAAGTAAACAATTCTTCACGATCAGATATTCGGAACCTCGTATTTGAGCGAATGAATGAATGAAACCCTGAATAGCTGAACATCGGTTTCTCCTTCCACCCGAAAGAATTTCCCGAAGAACAGATATGATATATGATGAGATTCGTATAATGGAGCACTTCGTATTGTACCACGACTATCCCTATTCTTGCTCCTGGAATAGAAAATGTGTTATTTTTACTGCAGTCGGCGGAGTCCTGTGCAGGATCTAGTATGTGCTGGATTTGAAGAATCTCAAACGGAGCTACTAATTTAGCTACACACCTTCTGCTGCACCCTTGAAGGTTATAGATTCGTTCTACGTACGGGCCATGGCCACTAGAACTCCAGATCATCTCAAGGAAAACGCCAGTGATACCTCTCAGACATTGTTTCACCAGCCGTTAGACCATTGCCAAGAAACGTCAAAAGTATGAAGATTCGTTTCTATGCATCCGAGTATTCATCAATTGATGAAACCACCAAACAAATAGGTTGATCAGAAATAAAGTTTGGATTTAAGCTTCTATACCAAGCTTTTCTGCCAAGCCGGGTGTTGTTCTGACATAACCTTATGGATATTGGCTAAATATAATTGGCTTGCTTCGAGATGCCAAGACTGGGGTATGAGAGAGTAAGATAGGGGTCTAGAAGCACGTTTTTGAGGCATTTTAATGTGTAAAGACCGTCAGGGACCTCGAAATGAGGAAGATGGATGAATGCATTATGTTTGACGTGATGTGTGATGTGTGATGTGTGATATGTGATGCTTTCTTAGGTAACGAATGATTTGCTAGATGTTTAGGTAGGTATTTCGATATTGATCCTTCGTGTAAGAACATAGGGCGATCACGATATAAATTGCTAAGGTTACGCTACCAGCTACAACACCAAAACCAGCAGAACAGACGCAACGAATTCGAACGAACATGCCGTTCCAACAGCAACTCCGCATCAACATCACCTACTTTACTGTGTCTTGTACACCACCGATTTTATATCTTCAAACACAAATCTCACATACCCGCACCACAATAAAGTAACCTTACTATACAATGGCCAATTTCTCACTCCTCCCTTAAGCTTCAAACCACCAGCAAGGTACTAGCTAGGTATCTATTGATTCCATCCAGCCAGCTAATCTAATCCTGCAACTCCCCGCAACACCGCCACCAACCGAAATTGCTCGAGCCTCACTCCAATGCATCGTACCTTCCTTCTCTCCCCCTTTTCCCAATCTCATGGCCAATCAACATGTCTCGACATATTCATCCATGGACACGCTCACATACAATTTTATGAAATGGGACTTCTGCAGTATCGTATCACCATAAGCTTTTTCCGTTTCAAGCTCGACAAAAATTTCTCAACTTTCTTCATACGAATCCTGGAGCTGGGAAAGTAGGAATTCTTGTCGCTCTGGTACCTTCTTCATGTGAATCGGTCTTCTTTCTTTTTCATGTTTATATATAAGTGGGAGGATGAACCATATATGTATTTTTCTTAGGGATCTTTTCTGATTGGGACTTCTTCATAGAGTCACATGCTACTTTTACGTCTTTACTTCTTTACTTCTTGGCTTTCTTAACTCTTATACTCACTCGACTTTTTATGTTGATTCGAACACTCCCTCTATTTAACTTACTTGAGGCTGGAGCCTTTCTTTTCTTTATTTCCTTCATGACATTACATCTTTCGTTTGATCAAAGATACTAAAGATACTGCTAAATTGAGCAAATATCTTTAAGCATCAATCGACCTACCGACTTCAAACATTCTTGCTTTACCTCCCGTCATTTCATTGAACAACATCCTCACACCTCAACTCAATTTACTTTCTCAACAACCAGTCACCAGTCACCTACCAAACCGCACCTTCAAAATGACAAACCCCTACACCAATTCCCCACACATAACCAAAGTCCCCCTCGAAACCATCTCCAAACTTGCTCCCTTCTCCGGCCTCATCCTCTCTATAATCCTAATCCTCTACTTCCTAATCCGCTACTACCTCCTCGAACCCATTATCCTTCCTCGTCTCTACAAATCAACCTTTACAAGCATGCCCCTTGGCTCTCCTCTCCGTCTCGGTTTCATAAATCATCACATCGCCGGCCTTACTAAACTTCTCATCCTGCTTCTCGCTGCCTATCCATTCATCTCGGTGACTTTCTTAACGGCTTCTCTACATACACCGTTTGCGAAAGGAAGTCAGGTAACAATGGGTGATATTTTGATAGTGGCGGCGCAAATGTTGATAGCGATGTATATATTTGAGTTATTGTATCGACCGAAGATTAGTCCAGTGAGTGTGGGACATCATGTTGGAACTATTTTGATTGGGCAGAGTGCTATTGCTATTAGTTTGGATTTGGTGAAGGAAAGGGATGCTACCATTGAATTTATTTTGTGTACGGTTTGGGGTATGTTTTTTCTTCCGTCTTCATTTTCCGTTTCCCTTTCCCTTTCCCCTTCACCCATTCCTCCCGCTCTCTCCCCAAACTAACAACCTCCAGGAGCCTTCGACATCATCTCAGAATTTCTCCCCCATCTAACCATAATCCTCTACCGCGTACATCCCACCTCTCACGCCTTCCTCCGTAAAATCTTCCGCATCGCCGCAATTACAACCTTTACAGGTACAATAGCCGAAACAATCCTCACAATGTTTCTCTTCGGTAGTTTGTGGGATCGATGGACTTTAGCATTTAAAATAACAACTCCAATGTTGCATGTGGTGTTCATGGCGGCGCAGTTGTGGGGGACGTGGAATTTTGTGGGGTTGTATAGGAGGCAGGGTTTGTTGATGAGAGAGATGGAGAAGAGAGGTGAGGAGGAGGCGGGGTTAGGGATGGGGATGGAAATGGGGAAGAAGGGGAGTGTTAGTGAGATGGAGGAGAAAGGGAAATGGAATATGGATTGGTGACGGCGACAAGAGGAGTTGGTTCCGGAGAATAGTTCAAGGACGAGAGGATATTATGATATCTGGAGGGAAATGTCGAGAACAAGGTGATGAAGAATGAGGTAATGGGGAAATAAGTGTAGATATGTGGCGTTATATCGAGCATTTTGGTATTGGGATATGGCATAGCATCGGTATGGGTACATGGTGTAGATTCGGGAGGTGTGGATGATTCATGTATAGGTATGTGAGGAGTTTCTGGGATTCATCAATTGCATTTGTATGATAGAAAAATAGTGGCATATATAGTATAGAAAGAATAATAGAATAATATTGATTGAGTTATTTTTGGACCTACCTGTTTGTTTTGAGTTACCAAGAGGACATCGAGACGTGGCATGCCGGCATTGAATCTATGAGACAACGACAATCTCGCAGCCGGATTCCGGATTTCCTTCCAACGCGGACGAGAGCCGTATGTGTCGACCGCTCCCTCCCACATATCATATCATAGCCCCTTCAGCCTTCAGCCTTCACCACATCCCTTACTATCCACTCACCGCCAACCACCGGACCAATAACCCCATCCATATATCCATATCCATATCCATAACCTAAATCCTGTAGAGAGAAACCAAATTAGTCTCAATAATCCCTCACTTCTCACACCACACATGGTGAAAATAAAAATCATGAAAAATACGAGGGAGAAAAAGGGAAAAATATAAATCAGAAGCTGAACGCGTTCTCAGCAATTGCAACATTTGTGCATCTGAGTGAGCTGGGTATAACGTATGTGTTGATCATCATTTTTATATGTGTATGTGTATTTTTTGAGAGGGGAGGTTTTGAGGGAAGAGGCCGAAGGATTTGCGGTTGAGGGGAATAAGGGGATAAAGGGATAAAGGGGGAGGATGATGGGGAAGAGGGGGGAACGTACGGATTGTGGTTTTTGGTGGTTTTGGTGTGGTGGTTTGGTTGTAGTTGGGAGTAAGAAGATAAAAGAGATAAAGAGGTGAAAAGTTGAGGAGGTAAGTAAAACTACTGTTAGTTTCTCCTGTTGCGGAGTTTGGGATTTGGCAATTGCATTTGCATTGTGCGGCGGAGGTAAAGATAAATGCCATCCATCCATCCATGCTACTGAATCAATTCAATTGAGCACTCAGCTCATTGATTGATCGATTTCACGAATCAAACCAAATCAAAGCATGAGTAAACAAAGCGCAAGCTCTGCAACAAGACATGATGAATCACCGCAGCTGTTGTGTTGAATGAAGTGAAGATATTTCCATAACCTATATTCATTAAGAAGAGAGAAAAGAAAGTTGGAAGAAATAAAATAAAAATCTATTTTTCTTAAAAGGACGCTAGGTTTTTCTTTTTTTTCTTCTTTTTTAAGCGTGCTCGGTTCACCAAGTTTAGTATGATGTGGGATGGGATGTGCTCGGGACACACCTTGTTGAGGTGTGGATTGAGAAATTTGAGGATTTAAGTTATTGTGTGCACACCTCTGGCTCTGGGTTTGGGGTTTGGTGAAATGCGGCAGAGTTTTTGGAGGCGGGTTTCTCTTCGAGGGCTTTTCTACTAGGTGGGTTGCTGGGTATTTATTAAATTACTCATTCTATAATTCTTTCTAAGAAGATTTCTCACTGGTTTTGGGGCATTCAATAATATAATACAGCAATGGAAATTAAAAAATTAAGGATAAGGATAAGAATAAGAATAAGGCTTCATTCAATTGCTCAGCTCAAGCTATACCTATCTATAACTATCCATATCTTCCATTTCATTCATCTATCCTTCTATCTTTCTCTCTTTCTTTCTTCTTTCCTCCCATTCATTCTATATCCAAGCTGTAGAGCAGTTCCATGTATCATATCATATCATATCATTATAATAAGCATTATTTAAGGGGCGTATATCATTCAGTCATAAAGGAGTCTATTCATCATCAATATTAGTATGAGTTTTTGTGTGGGTGATGGGAGAAAAAAACTCACGTATAAAATTATAAAATAAAATTCGTCAAATCGTTGATGCGTTTAAGCGACAATCTCAGCTTCGGCATTGACTCGCTTGTAGTGATCGTAAGACCCGTAGTTTGTGTAGCCGGTTGGGGTGGGGGTTGCTGTTGTGGTGGAGGTTTTGATGGTGGTGGAGGTCTTGATGGTGGTGGATGTGGTGGAGGTAGTAGGCACTGGGGCGTAGTTCTCGTAGTTGCCGTCTATGATAGAAGAGAAATGGTTAGTTATGGTAAAGTGGGTTGGGTTTGGTTAACGGGATGGTTTGTGGTGGTATAGGATGAGGATATAGCGGGAGTCACGAACAGTTGCCATCTGAATCAACAGAATACAAAGTCAGCATTGCTCGGGCGAAGCCTTGAGACAATTGAGAACATATGAGAGTGCGACTGGCTTAAGGAAACGAGAAATGAAGAGGTAACTTACAATCGCCGTAGTTTCCATAGTCTGCTGGGTCGGCTTCAGGAGCACGTGCTTTCTTGTTCTTGTATGCTCCGTCTAGGGAAATCGTTAGTTAATGTAGTTTGTACGATGGGTATTACTTACAGTTTGCGTATGAACCATATCCGGTTTGAGTTGGTGCAGTAGATGAGGTTGGAGTTGATTTAACGGATGAGGAGCTTGTTGAGGTTGGTGTTGGCTTGACAGATGAGGAGCTTGATGAGGTTGGTGTTGGTTTTGGTGTTGGTTTTGGTGTTGGTGTAGCGGATGAGGAGGTTGAAGGAACTCCTGGGTAGTTCACGTAGTTACCGTCTGAAACATTATAATGTTAGCACTGTATCAAAATAGCTTTTGATATACGAAGACGGACAGTTTCCGTAGTCACCATCTAAAGCTTAGGTCAGCATTTCATGGTCATAAATTCGAGAAACCAAAAAGAATGATTTGAATATGAATCCTATGAAATGTATGAACTTTGGTTAACTTACAATCTCCATAGTTTCCATAATCATCACGTTTCTCTGCTGGAACAGGCTTTGCTGCGGCTTCTCTAACTTTCTTGTTCTTGTAGGCACCGTCTGTGAGATGTGTTAGCCATATTAAAGCTGGATATCTGTTGATATATCTGCTTACAATTGGCATAGCTACCATATCCAGTAGGGGCTGGTGTAGGCTTGGAGGATGAGGAAGGAACTGGATATTTCTCATATGTGCCATAGTTTCCATAGTTACCATCTAGAAAGTGTGTCAGTACCTTACTCTCATTCCGTGGGAAGGTACTCTTACAGTCACCATAGTCACCATAGTCTGCTGGAGAAGCATTAGCTTTAGCTTCTGGTTGAGGCTCTGCTACTGGTGCAGCTACTGCACCAACGGCGGCGAATGCCAAAAGAGTGATAAATTCTCGTGAGAAAAGCATATTGAATGAAGTCTGGTTGAAGTAATTGAAATGGTAAAGATAGAATCAGATGTTGATGATAGGAGGAAGATGAGGATTGATGAGAATGATGTTCAAGTATCGTGGGGTCGATAGATCTTAAATACCTAGAAAAATCTATAATCCGTCTTGATATACTGTCAAGAATACCCGTATGAACATCTTACCGAAAAAACCGACACTATCACCCACGTATTGAAAAGTATCTATTCTTGGCATGACATTGTCGGTCAAGATACGAGTAGCTTGCTTGATCGGAAAAGTAACATTTCCACGTCATGATACTGCGGAATTCCCACTCGGGCTAACACACAAACATCAATTTTGATAAATATTGAGCGATATAGCGAGCTAAAGGCGTGATGGAAGTAAGGAGAAGGAGACCATCCTGCACTTTGTACGTAGGGCAACATCAACACAACAACTCATGTAGTGAATAGCCACGCATTGCGGTATCGCGTAATTCGTATCTGCATAGCCAAGTGGCTACTGTTATGTTGGAGATGCGGAAACTATGATGTCGCCGCACCAAAGTTTCATAAATTCCCATAAGTGGAAAGCTTATGTGAGGTTAGAATATGGTGGAATAGAGAGGGACTGCATAGAAATTGCGGGGTCCAACAGGTTAAAACTCGTGTTGGATGGCTCGTATCTTGATGATCTACGTCCAGATGATTGATACGAGAAAGGCACGAAGATCCATTCTTTCAGACCTTGGCATCTGAATAATTGGGAAGACAAAGGATCAAATAAGGTTATGGTTAAATGGTCGTTCCGTCTTTTCATTGTATCGTTGTATCTACGTACCCAGGAAACGATAAGACGGATAACCTTATTCTACGAGTGCGAGTGTCGAGTATTGTACAACTTGCATCGTCCCTGATAAGAAAACCTCATGTTGACATAAAACCCGTATGGATAAAACCTGGCAGCGGAGAAGTAAGACCTTGTTACTCTGTATTATATTTAGAAAACGAAGCTGCCAAGTAAAATGCCAACACGAGCCCTATTACCCATTTTTCCCTTTTCCAGCATTCAATGTTACTCCGTACTCCGTGATGCCGACAGCAGTGTGCATTGTGCATTGTGCATTGTGCACCTTATAATCCCTGAAGACACAATCCCTGGAGACACAATCCCTGAAGATACTATCTATCATCGTGCCTCGTAGATCAATTTATCAAGGTGGTATCACCAAATGTTTAAGCTTCATCGGATTTTCCCGCATCTGCACTTCGATTGAACATCAGCCAACCTCGTACAGCACAACACAAGTCTGGTCTTGGAATACAGTTCTGGGCTTTTCATTCTGGTGCCATGTTATCAGATCGGATCATTATTACATCCGATGATATAGGACTTGATTGAGTTTTGACTCGATAACTTGTACTAAGTACCTAGCATTTTTCAATACTTGGATGGCGAAGTCGCTGCTCAAGTGGGACGAAAACTTTCCCGAACATCAACTGCATTCATCTTATCTCTTTCTCTACAAGCTCATTTGTCTTTTCATCTGAACCCTCTCATACTTGATATATTCAGATGATTGATTGTTGTCGACTATTCTCTTCATCCTGACATCTTCATTTTACCCCACTGCATCCATTTGCCAATATGTCTTATGCTCCATTTTCAGACAAGTACAACGAAGTACCTCAATCAGAGGATGGTGAAGGATTACTCTCGCATACCCAACCAAAATATAAACAATCCCCCAGACGAAATAACATACTTTGGTATATACTATCAATACCGGTGATATCATTATTGTCAGTCGCTTTTGGTATATGGATCGGTGCTCGATTTGTGGCGAACCCCGCCAAATTATGTCCATCATATGTGCAACATTATTGTATGGCCCAGGATTTCTCCATTTCATGTCTAATTCTAATATGAAAAATAGCTCCTATACTGGATGATATTGATACTTCATATCAACCAGTAATGTTCAATGGATCATTCATGAAGGAAAATGCATTCAGATTGAGAGCAGGCCCTGAGGTGGATGAAGCTTGGGGAAGCTTGGGAGTACATTGTGAGTACAATATTTGTATCAACTGACTTGACTAAAGCTAATTATCCATAGATCGAAGTTTGGCATTACCAGCTAGCGAAGCAGAGAAATCCGGATTAACATCAGCTCATGTTCAAATAAACGAAAAATATGGAGGAGGATTTCCGGTAAACTTGGAAGGACTACATCATTTACATTGTCTTAATCTTGTAAGACAATCGCTATATTACAATTACGAATATTACCACGAAAAAGGAGAAGGAGCATTCGTGAATGAAGATAATGTTGTTCAATATCACGTCTGTAAGTATATCCTCAAATCCAACATTTCATCACATATAATTTCATCCCACACCCATTCTTCCACCTGAACACAAACTAACACATCCCAGCCCATTGTCTAGACATAGTCCGCCAACAACTCATGTGCCAAGTTGACACGGGCGTCCTGGGTCAAGTATGGTGGGATAAATCGAAACCCCAAGCATTCGTAGACTTCAACACGGAACATAAATGCAAAAATTTCGATGCCATAAGACAATGGGCAGAGGAAAGACAAATGCCTGCAGGTGGTCCTGCAGATTTCTTACAAAAACCAAAGGAAAGTGATGTTCTTGAATCGATACCCTAGAATGGGATCATGAAGATGATGAATTAGAAATGATGTATTGATGGATGACGGTTGGTTGGTTGGTTGGATCAGATATGGTGTTTTGGATGGGATATATAGGGTGGGGATTTGATTGGGATTGGGGTTATTTTATGAGTACCTAATGTCAATTGTAATGTTCGAAGTCGAGTGTATCTACATACAGGAAGATATGATGAATATTCGAATACATTTACTGTCGTCTTTTTATAGCCAGGTCTAGAATGTGGCAGTGCAACCTTTTCCCAAGAGTAGAATCAAAGTATCTCACTAGTCTCCCTAGTTAGCGGAACGGCAGTCTCTGCAATAGTAGAGTTTTCCTACTAGTCCACGTCAGCATGGATTTATCTAATAACTACCTCCTTTCATTGAAATATCTTTTTCACTGCTACCTTTTACATGTACTGCCTTTTAACCTATTCCCCATCTCCATTCCCCATTCCCCATCTCCATGTCACGATTTACGATTAAGATAAGGATATGTTGAGGGGCAGCAGTCAACGTGTCCATATGAGCTTAGGCCTTATCGAAAAGCAAGGCGATTCGTATACAAATTTGTATGGTAATTGCCTTATGTGGTCTCCTCACCTTTAGCAAGCTCGGATATATAATCTGATCTTAATCATGTGATAAGGAGCTTTGGGAACTTCGAAAGCTTTTAGAGCTCCAGGAGCTTTTTGGAGCTTTAAAGCTTTACAAAGCTCCTTTATATTCATTAATATATAATCAGAATAGTTTTATAGTTTAAAAGCTTTGTATTCAATTTAATTATCAATTAGTTTATTTATATTCCAATTGATCTAATAATATATTCATCTTCGAATAGATAATTAATAATTATTAGTTTTAATCTACAATTATTAATTATACGAAAACTTGAGGCAATTATTACTTCGATTAGATTATTACATTTTGAGTATTGTTATAATTAAGCTATATACAATACAATGATTTCCAATCAGTAATCCATCGAATCGTTTCTATTCAATCCAATTGGGATTTTTGTTCAGATTGTTATTATTATAGAATATAAATAAACAATTCAGATATCTATTTTTAATTTATTTTATAAAGATTATAACAAATATTAAGCTTTTGTTATATAAATTGATTTTTATTATATTTTTAACAAATAACTTTTTTTGATTTCTATATAAAGGATTTTATAATTGATCTTCTTTTTCTAAGGAATTATATTCAATTGGATTGAATTATTCTTTAATAATCTAATAATCAAAACTATTGATAATTAACTAAACGAAAATATAAAATCTGAGACTTATTGTTTATTTCTCAGTTATGAATCGTTTAGATAAAGATTCGATAAGATATTCGAGGAAATAGATCTTGATTATATAATTGAAAAAGCATTACAATAATTCAAATAGATCAAGTTAATTATAGTTTATATTATCAAGTTTCAATAATATATTGGATGTATTATTTGGGATGATGATTATCTAAAATCGTAATTTTATAAAGGATTGAAAGATATTATTAAGGACGAGTTAACGAGAGTTCTGAAACTATTTAATTTTTCTGAATTAATTGAAACCTTTATTTTTATTGATAATCGATTTTATAAGTAATAAATAAAAAAGAAAGAAATCATTTAGGAAAACAAGAAGTTTTAAAAACCTTATTATCAGAATAAGTATTATAATATTAACGATTCAATAAAATTGGATAATATTGAATAATATTATATAAAATTAAGTAATCTAAATATTAATAAAAAGAAAAGATATAAAGAGAATAATTTATATTTTATTTATAGAAAAAATAGATATATATTTCGAAATTGTTTTCAAAAGAAAAGATTATTTTTTGCAAAAGATAGAAAATAAATGAAATTTAGGAATAAAAGATAGAGTTTTCGAGAAATAAGGATTTTGGAAGGAAACTCGAAGGAAATGGGATTATTAGAAAGAGATTTACTTCAATTCAATTTTGAATAATTAAAGGAATTGGATATTAATAATCAAAATCCTAGAATTAGTATTAAGAACAATATCGATTACGAAAAAGAACTTTCAAAAGATCTCGAATCAAAAGATAAAGAATTAATTAAGGAATTCAAGAAGGATTAACAATTAATTAAATTTTGTTATTTGCTTTAGGAAAATGAATTATAATATTTAATTAATTATCTAGATGAGAAATGAATATGATGTTATTATAGAGAGAAAAAATCTAATTTTATTAAGAAATATAGAATCTATAATTATTCTATTTTGTTAACATTTTATATAGTAATATATAATGATGTTTATTATATAATATTTAAGGAAAATATTAAGGCAAGTAATATTAAAAGATATATTGTAGATATAGATTCTTTATCCTTTAATAAAGTATAGAAATATAATAAGTATAATCTAAAAGTTGGGGATGTATAAGAGATCCTATTACAAATTGGGATTTATTATATTTAATGAAGGATTAATAAGGATAATGAAAAAGTATCAAATCGAGATTATTATCAAAATTTCTAAATAGAATTAATAAAATTATTGTTTATTATATTCTATCAATTATTAAATATAAATGAATATCAATATGAATAACTGAATCTTTTTATTGAAGAATAAATTATCGAATTATTATTGTTAAAATTAAATAGTATTATAAGGATCAAATAATTGATTATAAAAATCAAACTAAAGAATCAATAAATAAATATCTTGATTAATTCTAAAGTTATAGATATATTCATAAATCCTAATTTCGTTAAAAAAAATAGAATTCTTATAGAATTAAAATAGAACCTTTATCAATTGATATTATTAGAAAGAAAGAAAGCTGGAATTGATAATTGGGTATATAAAGAAATCAATACTATCAAAATAATTATATCAGATAGATATACTAAACAGATCAAAATGAATTTAGTGTTATTGAACAAATATATAATTATCCTTGATATTCTATAGATTAAGAAATATAATCCAAATATTGATTAAATAAAAGATATTTTAATATTTGATCATTGTAATTATAATAACAAATGATTATATAGTTTAAAAGAATAGATTTTCGAAAAGACCAGATATTATATTATAACAATAACGAATCCTTTATTAATCGATAGAATCGATGAAAAAGAAATTCCAGTGTAATATAAAAGATTTATCAAGCTCTTCGAAGACTTATGTCACGATTTACGGTTTTCTTTATAGTAGTATTATTGACGTCGGTGATTTATAGGCCGACTACAGGGGGGGTGTAATTTAACCGTTGCTTTCGGGGGTCCTGATTACCTAAGCCTAGGATTCCAGGATTCCTAGGATAAGTATCCTAGGCAATCATAGTAGAATAGGACAAGTGTCCTACCTAATTGGTTGTAATGGGATTATCATTTTAGAGGATATCGTATCCTAGAGTTATAGTTCCTAAAGAGAAAGCTTCTAGGATAAGTGTTTCAGGAAAGGAAAGGTTTTGGGATATAAGAGGCCTCAGGATCAGTTACGTGATGTGCTAGCTCTGCTAGCCAGCTAGCAGAGCTAGCATCACAGGAATGCTAGCCGTGCTAGCCAGCTAGTATAGCTAGCATGGGAAAAGAGATTAGTATATAATCAGAATAGTTTCATAGTTTAGGAGCTTCGTACTCAACTTAGTTATCAATTAGTTTACCTATATTCCAATTGATCTAGTAATGTATTCACCTTCGAATGGATAATTAATGATTATTAGCCTTAACCTACAACTACCAACCATACGAAACCCTGAGGCAGCCGCTGCCTCAACCAGATCGTTACAACTTACAGGATTTGAAAACTTTATTAGAATATAAGCTTTGAGATTATAAAATCAATTTCAAAAAGGAATTTATATTCTTTATTAAGAAATTAAGATTATATAATTCTAATATTATATAAATATAAAAAGAATATAAAACTAAAATTGAAAAGAAAGAATAGATTAAGAAATCCAAATCCTTTTGTATATTTAATATATTATTGATATTCAAAAAAGATAATCTAAATAATCGGTTTTATAAAGATTATTATTAAATTAATAATAGAATAATCAGAAATATATATTCAATACTAAAAGTTTAAAAGTTTAAAGATAAATTGAATAAAGCAATAATCTATACAAAATTAGATTAAAGAAATATTTTTAATTTGATATAAATAAAAAAGGATTATAAATAAAAGACAATCTTTATTCTATTATCAGATTTATAGAAATATATAATTATATTATTCAGATTAATCAATATATCAATTATATATCAACAACAAAATAACAAAATACTCAAAAAGTTCAATTCATTTATAATTTGTTATCTAAATAATATTCTAATCTTCTTTTAAAAAGAAAAGGAATACAAAGGATATATATTGAAAGTATTTGAAATATTCAGAAAAATAAATTCAAGATTCAAACTATCGAAATATAAATTTGAAGTATAGAAGATAATATTCCTAGAATATATTATTTAATTAAAATAAATAAATATAAATCCTAAGAAAATAAAGAAAATAAAGAATTAAAAAAGATTTAGAAATATTAAGAATATATAATCTATATTAGGATTCATCAATTTCTATCGAATATTTATAAAAGATTTCTCGAAAATAATAAAACCTTTTACCGAAATAATCAAAAAAAGAATAACTTTTATATAAAATAAAAAGATAAAATAGGTTTTCTAAAAAATCAAGGATAGATTTACAAAGGAATCTATTTTCTATAATTATCATAATGATTAAGAAAATATTATCGAAACAAATACCTTTAATACTTATATAATAAAAATCTATTTATAAAAAGATGATAATAAGAAATTACATTCTATCATTTATTATTCAAACAAAATAAACAAAATAAAACAGAATTATAATATTTATAAAAAAGAATTTATAACTATTATAAAAACATTGAAATATTAAAGGATCTATCTCCAAAGGATTAAATTTCTAATAATTATTTACATTAATTATATAAATCTTCGAATTTTTATTATTACTAAGATTTTGAATAATTGTAAATTAATTAGATGGATTAAGAAACTAATAGGGTTTGATTTAATAATCAAATATATCAAAAAAAAGGATAATACAAAAGCAAATACTTTAAATAGATTATCAGATTATAAAAACAATAAAATCTATTAAAAAATAACAATCTTGAAATCCTTATTAAATAAAAATCTTATTTCTAATCTAATAAAAATCGTTATTATAGAAAATAAAT